GCTGGGGCCTGTGGTGGTGGCTGCGGCAGGGCACAGCCACTCGTAACCTCTCATCCCCTTTCTGTTCCCCTCCCTCCCCTGTTCCCCGCCACCTCCTCTCCCTGCTGGCTGTTGTTGTGGGGGTGAGGAGGGCGCCAGCTTCTGGCTCCAAGGAGTAAACCTGAGGGGGCAAGGCCAGCACTGCTTCTGGCTCCAAGGAGTAAACCTGGCCTTGCCCTCCCCGCTTCGTCCCCTCCATTATGGCGGCCCTTCAGTCCCCATTGTCCCCTGCTGCCTCCAAGGAGCAGGGGAGGGGGTCGAGGTCAGCTCTGCCAACCTCGCCCCCCTCCCTTTCAGCCCCTTGGTCCCCACTGCCATGGTGGCACTCCACTGTCTGTCTCTGTCTGCCAAGACAGCCAATCAGAGTGTGAATAAAGTGTTATGGACAGACAGACTAAGGCTTTTATAATATTAGAAGATTTTACCTAGTTTACCATTTTCTTTTTTCATTATAGGCACAAACTCAATGCCAACAGCAACATGAACAACAGAAAAAGGAACTGGAAAGCATGCATCAGAGAAGTATCCAGCAGCTACAGAATCGACTATCAGAACTAGAGATAATCAACAAAGACCTAACAGAAAGACGATATAAAGGAGACTCCACAGTCAGAGAACTTAAAGGAAAGCTCTCTGGGATAGAAGATGTATGGAATGATCATATGCATTTTCAAATTTGTATTTGTATAGGAATAGCATTATCAGTATATACAAGTAATCTGTTGTGTGATCAGTTGAAAATTAGCACATTTTCAAACTCTGGTGGTCCATGCTGTAGATTCAATATTCTTTATTTACCACCTTTTATAACATGGTATGTTTGAATGCACAGTTACAAGCTGAACAATGTATTCTTAAAACACATTTCTTTCAATTGTTTCAGGAGTGCCAGAGAACAAAGCAGGAAGTACTGTCTTTGCGTCGTGAGAATACTACTCTGGATGCTGAATGCCATGAAAAAGAAAAACTTATTAATCAGCTCCAAACACGAGTTGCTGTCTTTGAACAAGAGATCAAAGATAAAGACCAGTTGGTTAATAGGACAAAAGAAGTATTAAATGCGACACAGGAACAAAAGGTTCCCTTTAGTTTCTAAATCTACCGTATGTGAAAAACAGTAGAATTTTGTTGCTTATTATAAGGCTGTTGCAGGTTAGCAGTTTTTGTGAACTGACAAGTAGGTGATCAAATATTAAAAAGGAATCAAAACCATAGCTTCACAAAAAGATAATGGATTAATTTTAACAAGTGTATTTTAGTTTAATTTTTGCCATAATACATTACTGAATTTACCCTAGTATATTTCGTAAAAGTTTTATGTCTGAATGAAACTATTACTGTTAAGTTTGGAGAAATGGGACAGAATTCATGTGTGTTATACGAGTTGGATTAGTGATGTGAGAATTAATGTGGGTCTACTGCAAACCTTAATAAACTTCATCTAGATGAAATTGGAAGTATTTTTCTTCAGCAGTAAAAATCTTAATTAATTTTTTAAAGGTAATACTGGAAGAGAATACAGAGAAGAAACAAATTCACATAGGAAAACTTGAAGCAACAATAAAGTCATTATCAGCTGAATTACTAAAGGTTTGTTTAAACATGATGTTGAAATCATGAGATTTTTTTTTACGTTTAAATTATACTTATTTAGTTTGGAAATGTTCTCATGTTTTATAGGCTAATGACATTATCAAGAAATTACAAGGAGATTTGAAAACTCTAATGAGTAAACTGAAATTGAAAAACACAGTGACAATTCAGCAAGAAAAACTGCTGGCTGAAAAAGAAGAGAAACTCCAGAAAGAGCGGAGAGACCTGCAAGAGACCGGACAGTCTCTACAAACGAAAGAGCAAGAGGTGAAAGTTCTTTATTTTTCTTTTAAGTGGATAACAAGGTAAAGAGAATACCACCTTAGGATTTACATAGTACAAAAAATACAGTTGAGCATATGAATTAATTAATACTGGGGCCAGCACCTTTTTTAAGTTGCAGGCAGGAACAATGTGGCTAGAGTCTGACATGGGACAGGTAGCTTTAGCAGTGTATCAGTGGGTGGGTGGGGGCAGTTCCTTCCACCTTTGCTAGAGCCACACATCTGGGAGCTTTGTCCATGCTACTGCCACCACTTCTCCTAGTCCCCTGCTCCCTCATTGCGGTGTGAGTGCAGTAGCTTCTTTCACGCAGCTCCTGCTTCTCCCTGGCCCCTCCCCGCCTAGCCGAGCCCTGGCACAGCTCCCCACTGACTGTAAGCTGTGCTTGCATCACAGCCCTGGGGAATGGGGAAGAGAGTGTGGGCAGAAGTGGCAGTGGTGCAGGTGCAGCTTCCAATTTCCTGGTCTGGTGAAACTCCTCCCTGCTCAGTCAAGGGCACGGGCATGGGCACAGGCAAAGCCCTGCAGCTCCATGGGCCATACTTTGCCATTCCCTGAATTAGCAGACTTTTACGGAGATTTTCAAAGGCATGAATGGACACACCAACTGCTGCAGCTTCCTGAGCCTGACGAAGGGTTTTTGAACCCGAAAGTTTGCTTAATAACTATTCTCCAACCATTTGGGTTGGTCTAATAAAAGATATCAAATTCACCCAAGGAACCTTGTCTGCCTGAATGGAATAAAGAGCTTTTCCTTTGTGTGGTTGTACCCTTTTTGTACAACAGTAATCTAGACTTAACATCCATCTTCTCTTTTTAAGTTCAGAAGGATTTCAAGATCCTTGATGTTTTATTTACATTGTTTTTCTTCAGTATTTGATTGTTGAGTGCTCTTGATTTTACTTTATATAATTACTATGCAAACATTTTAGATATGCAAGTTGCAAGAACAGTTAGAAAGTACAGTGCAAAAACTGGAAGAAAGCAAGCAGCTGCTAAAAACCAATGAAAATGGTAAGTTTACAGAATTTCAGTCCCCTGTTTTGCATAAAATAACATTTCACTTAATCAGTGAAGCAGAATGGCATAGTTTGCAAATGTGAATAGCATAGCAGCTATATTATTTTCTCCGGTTATAGCATACTTGTGATCTTTTCCCCCAATAGAAGGATCAAGCAATTCAATTACTTCTTAGCTTATTTTACCAGTGCATAAATAGCCTCAGTTTAATTACTGTGATTCTTCACATGTGAAGAATTCACCTTTTGGTGTGACTCCATACAATTTAAGAAGTTTATCCTGTTGTTCTGGGTTTATGTATCCATATCCATAATTTCTAATTATTAATAAACCATTTGTTTTCTTGTAATTTGTGGGTCTAATTAATATTCTTGCTGCTGTATCCAGAAATTAAGTCATTAGTTGTTATCATGCTTATTTGAAAGAAGCTTGTATGCATTTTAATGTGATAACATATTCAGGATCAGATTGTCATCTTCAGCAGCAGGAGCTGAAGGAAACAATATTATCAACCAGAAGTAGGAGAGGGAAAATGGTAGTGTTTCGTACCACTGGAAAAGTCAGACATCCTTCTTGAGAAACTTCTGTCTTTTCAGAAGAGGTTTTATTTTAGGTTGAGTGAATGAGGACTCCTAAGTTAAGGGTACCAGACTCTTGGCTTGACATTTTGGCTAGATTTGGAGAGCACCCTTGTGTCAGGGATATGCCTTTTGATATATGAGAGGCAAGGTGGGGAAGGTGCTGACTTTTGGACAAGTTATAAGTTTCTGAAAAAAGCACAGTTCACACAAACTCAGATCTTTGGCAGATAAGTTTCCATTTACAGCAAGTATATTCCAGCCCAGGGATATGTGAGGATTTTGCTCATGGTTGCTCATGAGCAGCAGTGTCAAACTTATTTGGCTGTGAGAGGTAGAGGATCCTGACTGTAGGGTGTCCTTTGATTGGCAACATATTAATTCTTGCAACTGCCAGAGCTGCTGTTTCAGTGTGGTGCTGAAACCTAAGAAGTTATCGCCACTACTTCTTGCCCTATGTTTTCCCCTGATGCTTTTCTTAGTTGCCAGGGTGACTAAAAACCCTCATTTCAGTGGTGGGTAAAGGTGCGGGGATTGTGAACAATGACCTACCTTTGTATGTTTTATACGCTTGCTCTAGAGCAATGGTTCTCAACCATTTTTGTACCAGGAGCCATATGTAAACATCAGCACCTAATCCGGAACCACTGCCCCTCATACCTGACCCACTGCCCCCCACCTCCAGACTCTAGCCCCCCAGTGGTGGGCAGAGGGGGTGTGTGTGTGGGTCATGGGGGGGCGTCCCTTACAAGCCAGTACTCTGCCAGCCTGCAAGGGAAAAGCCAGTTTCCCACTTTTTTCTCCTTTAAAGGAGAATCCATTTTTAAAGTTTGTTCATAACCCATTCATGAATTGTTGTGACCCGCTTTTGGGTCATGACCCATGGATTGAGAAACGCTGCTGTAGAGCACCACTGAGAGTAGAGACTCCCTCCCATCCCCAGCTTCCCATTGCTTTCAGGCAGTGGGGGAGAGGGAACAGGTATTTCTGCAGCAGAGATGGGCTGGGAGAAGTCAAGATAGGGCAAAATTGGGGTGAGGGGGCCAGATTAGATAAAGAGTTGGTGCAGGAGAGAGTGGAAGAAACTGTCTAACAATGCAATAGAATAATTGCAACAAGTTCTTGATAAATGGCAGGTATTGCTGTTATAATTTCTGATAGATTGAGGACAGAATAAAGAGGGGGAAAAAAGCAAAGACATGATGATTTAATTCTTTTTCTACTTTTTGATGTAGTAATCACCTGGTTAAACAAGCAACTGAATGAAATTCAGATGGCAAGAAAACAAGAGGTATTGGGAACTTCTCCCATTTCACCTGTACTTCCCAGCAACAGCAGAATTGGCGTTTCACCTCAAAATATGGTAAAAGAGCCAAACAGCTATAATTAGGTATTTTCTATATTGTTTAGAAATAAATACACAAGAATTGAAGTACATAACTTAGATAAAATGCCTTGTTATTCCTTTTGCCTCATAATTTTTTTAAAATGTTGTGCAGTGTTATGAATGGATGCACTATTAATATAAGAAATAAAAACTTCATAAATGTATTTGATATAAGCCAGACAACAATATGAAATTAGAAATCTCAGTAATAGGACATTAAATTGCACACGAAAAGGAACTGGTGTGTCTTGTCAGCAAATCTCTTCTTCATTGCTATAATAGAGTTGTAGCTGGAAACTATTCTACATAGACATACTTTTTTCACGTAAGACTAATTTTGGAGAGAGTAGGGGAACTGGGAAGTAAAAAAAAATTCTTACTCTATACCTCTGTTTAAAGAAACTAATTAAAAGTAGTGGACTGCCAGCTCTTGTGTAAGAGTTGTAAACTTCTTCCTGACTGGAGAAGAAAAAAATAATAATGTTCATCTGAAACCATTTAATATAGAAGAGTTTGCATTTTCTTTGATATAAAGAGTGCAAGTTTACACCAGTCATTAGTCAACTCTTGAGATTTGCTGATGAAAACATGTTAATAAAATAATGCTTACCTTGTGTACACTCTTTTTTGCAAATATTCCTTTGAAAGAATAAGAGATTTTGCTGTGTCTGAATCACTTAAATATTAATAAACATTAATTGCAATAATACATTTAATGACTGAGGGTCAGTTTTAATTTTTTACATATAGATTCAGTGAAACTGAATCAGACTAATCTATTTTCTTTGAAACCCTGTAGTTCTCAGCTGAAAAGAATGTTGTATAGTTATTCATTTGAAACAGGAACCAGAAAAAGTAAGAGGGATTGCTAGGACCAAAAATACTACAGAGATGATGATCATCTTCTTTTGAATGGTCATTTTCTTACTTTCTCTTACAGTTGGAAAACAGATTTCCTCCTCCCAGTTTAGGAATAAATTATCCCATCTCCCCTATATATACCTTACAGACCCTTCCAGAACATACATCTGCTCGAAATGCCAGCCAACAGTTTTCAGGCCCAAAGGTAAGTAAGCATTTATACTATTTTGTGCTTATCTTTATACATGTATATTTACCCACATGTATTTCCATATAGTTTCAGAAATATTTGACTTAATGAACTTTTGGAATTTCCAATTAGCTAAACTTATGTTTAAACACAAGTTGCCTTTTGCTTTAATTGAGAGGTAGCTATATGCTCATTAGATAAAATGATAGCACTTGATGTCTTGAAAGCATTTTACAGATTATAAATTCATTGCTGTGAGGTATCATCCACGTTGTCACAGCTTTGCCATCTGAATATAAGCCATATAGCACATTCATCATACAAAGACACACAGAACGTGGATTTGGCTTTTAGCTCTGTTAGTCTAGTATCCCATACTGCTCGCAAAATAAAATTTTAATGTGTTTGATTATAGAAAACATCCTTCTGTGGCCTAGTGCAAAATGAATTTTGTAGGTCAGCAAAGTTCCCTTTTCAAGCATTTACTAGTATATCTGAGAGTAACAGGGCACCCAGTCTCTTTAGGTTAATATTGTGGCTAAGTGAAATCCAGTTTTTTTAAGCAAAATCTCTTAAATTTGAAATAGTTTCTTTTAATCTTGTGAATTGCCTTTTCCCTGCCATAATGCTTATTCATTCTGATAATGAATGCTGACATTAGTAGGCCCTAAAACATAACACTGAATTAAATACAACAATTCAGCAGAAGCCATTGTTTGTTTTGGTGTCCCATAGAAACGGCAAACCATAGCAAAAGATGCACCCACTGTAGGTGTCAGTAGCTGAATTCCTACTTTGTCTTATAACTTAGCATACTATTCATTGTGTCTACTTTATCTAGGCATGTGATATGTGGAACATTATTGCTCACAGTGGGTCTATACCTGCACATTACTGTGGAGTTGACTTATTAGCTCTTCAGTAAAGTGTCATAGTCTACACGTGTGCTGGTATTAGGGCGCAGTAAACTAATTAACTCTGCTGTAAGATGGTACAGTACTGTAGGATAGTATTGTACTATCTTGCAGCAGAGTCATTAAATGTGGTCAAACACATGTACGCGGTGACCACTGGGCACAAATTGTGCCTGATCAGCCCAGCTGGCCAGGGACCAGACCTCCAGGTCCTGCCAGCCCCTCCGCCACCTGATGCTGCCACCCAGAACCTGGAGCTGACCCACCGTGCTCCCTGCCAGCCTGAGGCTGCTCCACCCCAGCTCAGCTTGCTGCTCTCCCAGGCACACATGTAGACACTGTGCCCGGGAGCAGTGTACTCTGGCTCAAATGGCTCCAGAGTTTACTGTGTTGTGTTATTTGCACGTATATATGCACCCGGTCTGATCAAAATCCTAAATCTCCATTTTCTTTGTTCGCAATTTTAATCTAGATTAAATAGTGAATGTGTGAAAATGTTGATCTTCTTTTAGATTCAGTTTAATACGCAACTCTCAAAAACTAATAGATGTTCAGATGTTCAGATGGTACCTGTTGCAACAAGCAATTCAGCAAACAAAGAAAAGTGAGTACTTTCAATTTTGTGCCTACACAAATGATATACTTTAGGGCAGATTATCAAGACCCTCAGCCACTTCTCTAAGATTGCTAGGAAAAGTTTTGTATAACAGTTCTTATGTTTAAGTTTGTGACTGCAAACTGTAGTGCTGTGTTCAAATAAATGTACAGCTTTACCCTCTCCCTCTGCAACTTTAGAGGCTATATTTGAAAATGTGGCTCTCAAAGTGTCTTTGAAGGCAGCTTTTATGGATAAAAAATCAGATCACACCCTGTGTAATTTTATGCTGTGGAATAATTTATTTGACCTGTTTGTAGGCTACCATTAAGAAAATGACATTCTGCTAGTCTTAGATTCAACAGTCATTATAAACTACTCCAGTCTTCTGTTACTCACAGTAAAGTGGAGCCAGCCATGTGGGAGATGAACATCATAGGGCTCTAAAATTTATAACAAGAATAGCAAATGTTCCTTTTACAGGCTGAGTGCCTCAGTGTGCCTAATTCATGAAGGCATTCAGCACACATTGCTTAAAATTGTATTAATGTTTTCAATGTTACATGACATTATTTTGTCTTTCTTCCTGTTAATGTGAGTGGTGGTACCATGTAGGAAAGTAAGTTATTTTAGAAAGAACATAATGAAGTAGGCAGGTGCAGTGGAATAAGTGCATTGTTTCTATTGCAAGTTGTAGCAGCTTTTGTAACCAATTAGTAACATAGTTAATAATGAGCCAATGCTGTTTCAATCCTACTTTGTGTTCCTGTAATCCAGGGGTTGGCAACCTTTTGCCACTGTGGGCCACTGTTTGCAATCCTGCACCCACCCTTCTTCCCACTCACCCCCAGGCATTCAGCAGATGCTGCAAAGGGAGTAGATAGAGAAAAGCAGGTGTTAGGATCCTGGGATCACTTCCTGTGCTGCTGGGGCTGGAGCCGGAGCTGACTGCTGATTCCAGATCCAGCCTGTAGGCCATAGGTTCTCAACCCCTGCTGCAGTCAGTTTGACAAACTGTATATGTGGTGTTGGTGGGATCCCCTCTACCTTTTTTGTTTGTCTCTCCGTTCTTTCTCCCTACCCTATTTGGTAGGACATCCCAGAAGGCATTGTTCCTGGTAATTCTGGTACTTATCTGGGTCTGTCTCTTCTGGGAATTCTTTTGCCTACAATATCATAGAGCTGCCCAGACAACTGTCAAGAAAGCACTTGCCTTTTCTAGCATTGCCTACCCAAAAGGTTTTTCTACCACATCTACAACCCAGCCACATTTGTTGGATGTGGGTTAGATGAAGAAAACTGTTTACAAAAACAACTGTACCTGTCGTGCTTATGGGGTTTTACTGTTTAAAGAAACTGCTTTAATATTTCTCCATGTGTAGCCTACTTAAGTGTGTGTGTGCGCGCACATATGATCAGAATATATGAAAAGCATTGCTGGTTGTGGCTGTCCCTACGCACTGTATGTTCCTGTGCCTCCTTCATCAAAAGGTAGAAAGGGGCAAACCTGTAGCACACTTCTGATTGCCCATAATAATGAGAGAGAGTGGGGTTGTATTTACCTGCTACTTAATCATTTCTTCTGCTGTTACTTGTTATTGGCTAGTTAGGAAATCATCAAGGTTAATCCTATTAAATTTCTTCCAAAACACCCAACAGGCAATCTTTGTGCCAGCAAGACTTTCATGGTGGATTCAAAGCCCTTAAGACTTGAAGCTGCATTTGCTGTGTGATGTACTTATTGCAAATGCAGATGATTATAGGACACAGACTCAGTTGATAAAGAATTCTGCTTACAGATGTGAGTTTTAAGCAGTTTAAGCAATTAGCTTGCACAGCACTGTCTGATAGGTTGTCACTATTAAGATTCTCCAGTCATGGTTTATTCACGTAATACATGGAAGCATTCATCAAGAGGTAATAAAATTACAGGAATGTCAGCTCCACAACCCTCCTTAATAGCCCCATATCAGCTTGGGGCCAGTAACAACTTAGCAATTGCCCTCCTATTCCACCTTGACTTAGGCCGTAGAATAACTTTCTAGCACATCTAATTTTTCTCAGTTTAGCTTGAGACTAAGTCACAAAAAGCAGTGAGGAGAGGACCCACATACCTTTAACAGTAATAGAATTTGGGCTGTTTCCTACATCAGGGAGGCAAAAGCAGCCACATGGTCATCTCCTTCAAACACTGTGCTGTAGACCTGGCTTTGTAACACTGATTAAGATTAGATTCCAAAGGGCAGTGTTTACTTAATGACAGCTGGAAATCCTTGCTCAGATTTCCGGGGAGGGGTACTGTTAGCCAGCTGCCTAGAGTGGGATTTATACCAATTCTTGGCTACCTTGAAGGCACTGATACTTGGGATGTTTTACCTGTGGGGATTTCTTTCTACCTTGAAATCCTTTTATCTCAAATTCTGGGTTATTGAGAGAATTCAGAGACAGTTGCAGGTTCTCTGCCTGGCTATGCCTTTACAGGGGGAACAGAGTGGGGGGTTACACAGGGCACTAGAGTGGTACCAATGGCCAGAGGTATTCAGAGATGCCCGTCTCACCTGCATTAGGCACACATACACCTGGAGTGGGATCCATATGGACAAAACCATTTCTAAGAACCTCATTATTTCATAGATAAGTAACCATTCTGTTATGCTGGTGCTAGCACTAAAACAGTAGTTAGTTGTAAGCAGTAAGCACCTGTTCAGATGTTTTTTAGAACATTGTTTCAATATAACACACTCTTTGAAAAGCCCCAAAGTATTTTTTGTGTAGACTTTAAAGTATGCAGCTGACAACTCCTAGCTTCACCAGCAACATGTACAAAAAAGACAGACAAATGTAACAGGAAGTTCATAGATTTCTTGTTTTTAAGTATGATTTTCTTTTGAATAGTGGTGAGCATTTGGGGTTGGAATTGAAGTATTTAAAGAAAAGAGAAGACAGCATTCCTTTACGGGGGCTGAGCCAGAACACGCTTAATAGCTCAGGTAGGAACAGACTGTCTTATTAAAGTGTAAAATATTCAATTTTAAAAAGCACCTTCCAGAACTCTGAGCAGCTTTATGTCCCACCAAGGTTAACATATTTCCTCCTTATTTGCAGAGTATCCAAAATCCTATCCATCAACAAAAATACAAACTTCATCAAAACCTGTAGTACCTTCAACAGCCTCTGCTTATTTCCCTGGATAATGGACAACATAGTTCTAAAATGAAAACTATTCTACCATTTATCTAGGATTGGCTTGATGGTATTGAGTATAATTATCCCCTTAAAGGTAAAGTATCAAAATGGTACAGTAATCCCCTGCAAAATCGGTTAACCTTATCAGCTCTAAATTATGCTATGGGATTGCACAGAAAAATAGATAGATTTAATCAGATGCTATATATAGACTTTCAGGCTGTGTTCTAGCCAAAAAAGTAATGCAGAGGTGAGAAACAGCTTTGTAGCTTATTTTCATGTGGAAAATATTTTGACGGATGATCGTTTTTAAAGAGTCTGAAGGCTTGCAGAGCTGGTTTTGTCAAGGCAGTAGGTTCCCTACCCCAAAAAATCCAAATGAGTGATTGGCATTATTATGCTGGAACTGAGTCATGCCTGGAACTGTTTTCTTCTTTCCCTGAAAAACATTGTGCTTTAGGAACTTAGTACTAAATGCTATCCTGAATGGTGCACACAACCCTCAGCTTTCCCTGAAATCAGTAGGAACTGTGTTGGGCAGGTTGTGGCTGTAAGAAACTACCTAGGCTCTTCCCAGAATAAGTGTTTAGTTGGAGACTGATGTTAATGTCTTTCAGAGTGGAGATTAATCAGTCTGTGGAGCATTTGAACTCCCTAGACCCTAAACAGATGTTTGTACCAGTGTAGTGACACAGATAATATCAAGAATGGGAAAGATTAGTGGCTGTTTCCTTTCTTTGCTGGGTTTTGACCATGTTGATCTGCATTAGTCCTTGAATGAAATTACACTATGCGCTGGGCTCTATGGAGTTTTTCTGTTTCATGCAAGGGGCTGGTACCCTTCAGGGAATTATCCCAGGAATTGATGTGTCACATGAAAAACTGTTCTCATCATAGAAATGCACTTACAAAGCATGTAATTGTTGTAAGGGCTTAACTTGACCTATAAGATTTGTTAATGAAGCAAACTGAACCCAATTCTTAACAGAGTTGAAGTTTGCTCATTTCAATTTTTATACTCATCCTGATTTTGAATTTTTTGGCAGAATTTTCTTGTAAAAAGCCACTGCCAAACCAACACAAACAATAATAAATTTGATAACCACTATTTCTAAATATAACTGAAGGAATTTATATGTTATATCACTAGGCAAACTATGTAGACAGAAATTATTAAAATGAAATAAGGTATAAAGCTGAGTTGCAGCTAAATATTTCATACTCCTTGTTGCAGTTCGTTTCTGTTTCTGTCAGTTTCTCACTAAGTGGGTTCTGAATGACATGGGCTGCAGTTTGTAAAGTGTTGAAAGCAGTTTACATTATGTTAGTGCAGCAACAATACTATACATAACACATCCAGGAAACTAACACTAAGATTTGGATAGAGTGAAGATATATGTATCTTTTAGGTTTTTGGCTATACTTGAGTCCATTACTAGAATCATGCTATAGTGCCTGTTTTAAGTTCCAGTGAGTGAACTGAAGGTTGTAGAAACTACTATATTTTCTCAGATTTAGCATGCTCCTATAAGTAGTATGCACCTGGATTCTGGAGGTTCTGGGCTCTGACCTGGCACATTGCTCTGGAGCTAGCATGTGGGGTTGGACCAGGCATGCTGGGTCTGAGACCTTGTGACTGGTCAGACTTGGCACACAAGATCCAGACACAGACCAACCAACCCTGCATGCTGACCTGACTGGGTTTGTGGCCAGGAGGGAATCGCCACTGGTAGTAGTAGTGTTAATTGCTATGGCTCCCAATTAAATGCTGCCAGCACTACTTCCCTCCCCCCCCCTTTCCTGTACCCACATTTCCAGACCCAAGGTCAGGTTTCCCTTGCATGTGATGTGGCGGAGGGGTGGCCTATACAAGAGAAAATGCAGTGTAATATATAAAGTAACCAAAAAAAGGACCAGCTTTTGTAGTTTACCATAAACTGTATTGTAATACCAAACTAGAGATACTGTCTAAGTTTTAAACTGTAATATGGTAAAGCCACTTTTAAAAAAAAAATGTCTTGGACTCTGTTTACATGCTTCTTGGTTTAAAATGTTATTTGGTTTCAGACCGTCTTCGTTGTTATGTTTAGAGTGGTTATCACTCTAGTTTTTTTGCACATTACTGTCCAAATGACTTGTATATGTAAAGATATTTTGCTGTGTAAAATTTGTACGTGTATTTATAATCAGACTTTGTATTAATGTATATCCATTTGCTTTTGGAAGTGTTAAGGTTAATGGAAAATATTAAATAGCTTATCAGTAAAAGGCTACTTTTGTTTCTCTCATCTGTTGCACTAAAGAGCAGAAAAACAGTAACATTATAGTTATTTCACTGAAGCCTACAGCAGTTTGCCAGAAAGCATTTCAGGAACCTTGTCAACTGAGTTTAGTTCATGTATTAGGCTTTACAAAACCATGCTGCACCCCTTCAATTTATATTTTGAGCATTAGTCTAGAGCAGAGAAAATGACTTAAGCAGGGTGTGGAGTATGTCCAGCAAGTTACAAGACACACAATGGAATCAATTCTATAGATTGCCTATGATCTAGAATATAATTGAAGGCATTAACAATTATTTAAAAATTCATAAAATAGTCAACTTTATTCACATATTTTCCAGCTTTTAGTCAACCATGGCAAATGTTCAAAGTTAAAAAAGCACTGAGCAATAACCACATAAGATGAAAACATTTTAAACTATACAGTACTTTATACACAAATTTATACAAAGGAACACTTAAATAATACAACCAGACACAAAAATATACACTTTAGAGAAATAAATTCACATCAGTAATTGTATAAAGCTCTGTTGGGTACTAGGGTCCTGAAAGTTTAGGACTAAAACATTAGCTCTGCAAAACAAAAGTATTAACTGTGACAGTCCTGAAAGGCCACTATATAGTACATTGACATTTTCAAGGCTACCAACTTATTTCACTTTGTATATTCAAGTTTTGAGGTCTTCATGATTATGCTCAGAAACAGTGGTATAATAAACTACTTAGGAAAGCAGGGCTTTAGAACCAATATTAAAAACTTATTGGCTCATAACTTGCTATTTAAATACTCCATATCTGATATATATCGTACTAAAAAATAGAATTAAGAGTAACGCACTTACATAAAAAGAGCTTTCAGCTGTTCAGTAAGCATGCTCATGTAATTTTGTATTAATACAAACTTAAAAATTAAAAAACCTGCCGTACAGTGATTGTAAAATTAAAAAAAAAACCCCACGTTTTCTTACTTGAGTGCATTTACATTAAGGCTTTGAATCACCTGACCCAAGATTTTCCAACATTAAAATTAATGGGTCCACATATATGCTAGTATGTCTCACTGAGACTTAGTATGAAGAGAATTAAAGCTCAACACCTTAAGAAAATGGTGTAGGGACACGTGCTAATACCTTGACTTTATTCCTTATGTCTCTTGAGCTAGGATGTAAAGGTTAATATAATTAACAATATATCAGGGCAAGAGACCAGTGCTTAATATTTTTTTAAAAGCAAATTAATAATTTAATTGTAACATCTTTGGAGAAATTTCCAGTTCCTGTTTGTAGTTCCTACAAGTTTCATGCATAAATTTCTTAAGGTTATCTTAAGAAATCACATGCTTGACGGAATGTAATCTCCAGCGCTGCAGATGGGGGGGGGGGGGGGGAGGCGGGGGGGGTGGGAAGTCTTTTGAGTTTTGCTGTCATACATTTGTGTCTTGCAGTAAAGGTTCTTTGGCCTCACCAGGGGCCTGTGGACTATGTGGATGGCTATGACTGCCACAGTGTTTCTTCCAATTGCTGGATCGTACAGTTAGATTAGTATGTTCAGGAATAAACAAGGCAACAAGGAGAGCTAACAGCACAGAGCATGCTCCAAACAAGAATGGTGGTCCAGGAATGATAGAGTTCTGAAAAGAACACAAAGGAACAGCTAATAAATTCAACATTCACACCAAGTTTATTACATGCTAGGTCCCCATGCTAATTACAGAGAAACCTTTTACAGACAGTTTTTTCACTCTCCTTTCCTCTCAGCAACTGGGCTCTTCCCAACCATCATGTCTTGTGCAGGGAGAAGGGATTTCCCACCCCCTGAGAATAAGGCAGAACACACAGTTGGCATACCCAGTTAAGACTACTGACTTCTTGGCTCTGTTCAAATTGCAGAATTTTTAAACTGTAGAATTTTCCCTTGCCTTCATGAGAAGTGGGCCACAGACTACCTCACTCGGCTCTTTCAAATAATTCTCAAATGGACGTATGTCATCAAGACAGGAAGCTATGAAGACTGAATAGCTGGTAGCATTGGCCTTTCACTCCCTAGTTTACCTTTCCACAGGATTTCTGAAAAAAGGGAAGTATTACACAGCATAATTGCAGCAGCAGTATGAAACTGCATGTTCCTAGTCAATCTTGTTCAGGCAGTTTTACCCTGCTGTAGACAACACTACGAAGTTGCCAAGGTTTCAAGCAAGGACTACTAAGAAGGAGACTACAAAATACAGAAGAGCACAAGATTAATGTGATTTTATATCAAATCCATCCCCCTACAATTCAAACAGCATCAGTTGGATTAAAAGCAAACAACTGGACACAGGGTGTGAACTGCTGTTACAAAACTTAGAGGCTGCGAGTTAAACTGACAGAAGACTACAGAAGTGTCCCACCATCCTTGAAACAACCATTTCAATGTAGGTATACAGTGTCAGTATTTTGACATAAGGCACCATAAGTAATCATTTAGCTGCATAAAAAGAACTATTATCTAGCTGCCTGAGATTGTGCTAGAAAGCCATTTTAAAAGTCCAGATTTGCTTCTCTAGTTCGTTACTCTTCATTCAAGCACTTCCTGATTTCTGTGTGAATACTTCAAGTAGATGGAATAGTAAAGGTCACCCAGGTGAAAGCTTTAGTTAGTTGGGCAAGAGATCATTTTTAACATTTGATTTTTACTATGGTATGGAAATTGATCTATAAAATCGGGCAGCAGTGGATCCAGGACTCTGCTGCACATGGCCTCCGAGTGGCTGGAGTGGGTGCCATCTGTGCCACATGCAGCACTTGTTCTGGCCATATTGGGACCTGCATGGGATGTAGCATGGAGCAGACTGCACATGATGCCCACTCCAGCTGCTCTGGGTCATGGGCTGTGAGCCAGATGAGTTTGACACCTCTGATTAGAGCTAAGCTAGCCAAAATACTACATAATGCCACAAGGGAAACCCCAGCACTGATATGATAAATGAATTAGATAATTTTTTTCCCTTCCAGATTTCTAGGATTTAACCCTTCTGTATTTCTGCTGAATAAGAAATAAAGAGTAGCAATACCTGTTGTGAATGGTGTTGTGTGTCCATATTACCTTCCGGTTTAATATCAGGCACTGGAAGTTCACTCAATTCTACATGGAATATGTAGAATATAAAGCCATAGAGTGCTGGTCCCAAACCATTACACAATCCTCGAATTCCTGTTATCATCCCTTGAACAACACCTGAAAGAAGCAGGATTCCACTAGGTTAACTGTAAAGAATGAAGACAGTTTTAAATGCTTTTTGAAAGGTGTCCAATAGTTAATGACTCTCTTTCCCCTTCACACTGATGCAAGCTACAAGTAACTTCACTGACTGAGTTACACTAGTGAGAGATGAGAAAAATCAGCCATAGTATTATACTGAGTTCTTTGTTCTAATACATACTTAAGACAGGATTTCCTATGCTGCAGTACACCAAATGACTGCCAAATTTGGTGTTTTGGGTTGGCTCTAGTCCCAGCTGGCAGCAGCTCCAGCCCTGGCCTGGGTTGTGGCCAGAGGTGGAGCTGCAGCTGCTCCCCTGCCACTGCATAGCATCCGCCCACCACACTCTCCCTGCTCCCATCACCCTGTGGTCTCCCCATGCTTCTTCCACTGCATGAGCCATCTCTACCAGGCAGCAGCAGTGGCAAACAGCTTTGGCTCAGGGTAGGACCACAGCCAGAACTGCAGCAGCTATGTTCCCTGGGCCAGTACCTGAATCTGAGACAAGGCTCTCCTGCCCCCAACCCCATGTTGAATGGGAAAAGCACCTCATCTTGGATTCAAGTAAATATGGACATTTTTATTCTTAGAAGAGGTAAACTACACTAAATATTTTTCATTTATATTACTATACTGTTGGCAAATTTGTCCTATAAACTAGCAAGAAGGCTACAATTAAGGATAACTTATTTGTAAGGGATGACAAGCAAGACAATATTTCTGGCTTGAAGGATCCTTATTAAAATATTAGGCCCTAAAAACATACCCTGTTGATCAGCATCAGCAGTTCGTGAAACCAGTGCACTTACTGCTGGGAACGTAATACTAGACATGGCTGCAACAGCCCCTGCTGCCCACATCATCCTGGAGAACAAGCGAGAGAATCAGAATGAGCATTTTGGGCAGTGTTCTGCATTCTACTTTGTGTATTACAACAAAATGCAATTGATTTGATCAAGTTAGCACATTCCTATTTTTAAACTAATATATAATATAGGTGTTATAAATTAGTAATATACTTGTATATTGGTGCTATATAATTATTTTATTAAAACACAAAGAATGTAATAATGTAGTTGGAAAATAACCACTCCACTTGAAAGGTATGACACAGGAAATCACTGTTCGTGAAGTTTTTTTGGGGTAAACTTCCTCCCCCAAAAAGAGGATCTTTTAGAGGCTCTCTCAAAGCCACATTAAAGCTAAATATGTATAGTACAAAGCAAATTAACATTTTTAGCTTGCTCTGTTTGATCACTGGTATGGTAGCAAGTGCAAAGGGTACAATCACAGATGTTATAATACCAATACAATAAAGATGTAAGCAGACATCTTAACACGAGTCAATGTATTCCAATACCAGCTACTAGATCATTCAAAAAACTGACTGAGGAACAAGAGGACAAAAGCACACTTGGATGTCTGAAATTACTTAGTTCAATGTTTGGAATCCATATTCTCTCTTAGAAAAAGAGAAGAGAAATATTTTAGGGTGTTTTTATTAAGATTACTGACACAACATTCTTTCAGTCAATCATACTTTGCAATATCAAAGTTCTTGTTTTGGGCATTTTACTGCAAGGATAATTGACTTTGTGAATTGACCTTGACTGACTGCATCTACCATAAATTAATATGTTATGTTAGGTAAAAAAAAGAAAAAAATTCCAGAGTAAGATCCTTCATCTTGGGGAAATCTTGCTGCTGGAAACAGAATGGCTGCTTCAAAGGAAAAACAT